CCTGTTTTAAAGACAATTCTTTACAGGCCCAGCGCGCGACAGAACAGCTATGGAGTCATGATGTAGTTTGACAAGGCCTTGAGCCTTTTCTGCCAAAGAGTGTTGAAATCAAACTACACATCCCTACATTCCATAGAACTGAGTCAATGCAATTAAGTGAGAGATGATGTTCTCAAAGAGGAGCTCCTGAAGCAGCTTCCCCTTTGGCACTCATCATGTATGACGAGAACACCCTGTAACACAGTTTTTGTTCCAGAGTGATAAGTTTCATTTCCTGATCGGTTCTATCATATTAAAAAAAAAACCATGGGAAAGTTCATTAAACTGCCAAAACTTTGTGGGAAGGACATCATTCTGCAGCAACACATTTTTCTCTCGCTTTCCAACGAGTATCTCTCATCATCGAGTGTTCTGTTGCGCGCTGGGCCTGTAACAGATGTCTTTTCTATAGGACGTATACTTTAAGCCCAGCGGGAAGCCAGGGCGCCTCAGAGAGAGGTTCTCAGGGATTTTTCTGAAGTAATGGTCTTTAGAGTCTTTAATGATACAACAAAGTCTTTATTATGGAACAAACAACAAATCTTCAATGGTTCAAACAACACTTCAAGGCTTTCTTAGTCTAGTCCTCAATGGACTGGTACCTGACTTTAATTAATTGTACTTTCTCTGTAGAAAAAAAACCCTATTTAACCTCTCCCAGGCTGTTTACTATCTATGCCTCATCGGTGTGGGTCCTACTACCGATTCCAAATGTGTCTGGGTATCAAGTAGACCTACCAGCCGAGGCTTGTAGATATTTCAGACGGAGTTCCGTGGATCTGTAGTGCTGTCCTCCCTCAGAGAATTCTTTGAAAACCTCAGGATTGTTTTCCCTCTGATTGCTGTGAGGCTGTGAGCTCTCAGAGCCATGGGACCTTTTCCCTGGAATTTTTGTTTCTGTTTCCCCGAATGTTCTTGAGAAAAGAAGCTTTTCTATGGGACGAGCTGGTCTAAGTCCTATAGTTTGCTTCCTTATGTGAGACGGCCCAAAAAATGGCTCCTTTCCCTCCCAGAGCCCTGAACAAGGGGTGGAACCAAAGCTTAATTATGATGGACAGGAGGCCCTGCCCTATGACTGCAAACAGATAACAGAAAGAAAATAAAGTTGGAGCTCTGGTACAGCCGTACCAGCACATCGAGTCTCAACCCACAAAAACGAGGTTTTGGGTGAAGAACAACTGCTTTCAGAGCAAAGACTGCACAATTAAACAGGAAGTAACACTTTCAAACCAGGAATGGAATATTTTCAAAATGTTAGATAGTGGAATCTCATGTGTACCCTCCTTTTGGAAAGGTCATTTAGCCCCAAAAGGTGAGCATTCCATTGGAGTCCATAGGGTGCATCTTCCCTTTGCTCCTTTCTGCTCTTGGCTTCTGGGACATGCGCCCAACGCTTGCACGCCATGTGCTCCATTAACACAAAGGCACTTTCCAAGTCCTGTGACATAATTCCATAATGCTCCTTTCCTCAGGAATCCGTGGGGTTTTCCCGAAGCAACGCTCACCTGATTGGCTACAGCCTTGGAGCCCATGTGGCGGGTTTTGCCGGAAGCTCAATCGGCGGCACAAAGAAAATCGGGCGCATCACAGGTATGGAGAGAACCCTTCAGCTCCCAGATTGGCTCTGGCCTTAACATTACAATGGAACCATAATCAGTACAGTCAGGTGCTCGAGAGGATATGATACGTCCCTCCTCGTAATCTAAGATCATCCGGGGAGGCCCTGCTCTCACTCCCGTCAACAGCACAGATGTGCCTGGCAGGGACGAGAGACAGGGCCTTCTTGGCTGTAGCCCCCCCGCCTATGGAACATACTCCCAAATGAGGGAAGATCCACTCCCTCCCTCCTGGCTTTTAGAAAAAAAATTGAATCATGGTTTTGGGACCAGGCCTTCGGGCAGTAGAAGTAAATGTATGCAGCATTTCGTAAAGACAATGACTGGAATGGCAATTTGACGGACGAGACTGTTTTATTGTTTCAATGATTGTTTTATTGCTCATGGATGTATTTTTAAATTTAATTTATGTCTAATTGTAGTGTCTAATTGCAATTGTTTGTACTGGCATTGAATTTTTGCCATTACCGCTTTGAGTCCCCCTCGGGGTGAGAAAAGCAGTATATAAATACTGTAAATAATAATAATAATAATAATAATAATAATAATAATAAGTGGGTCAGCTAAAGCATTAAAGCATTACACTCAAGAGCAGGCATGGGCAACTTTGGCCCTCTAGGTGTTTTGGACTCCAATTCTCACAATTCCTTGGATTGCTCAATGCAAGTGCACTGAACCCATGCGCTTTCCTGTCACCAGGCCTGGACCCAGCAGGGCCGCTCTTTGAGGGCATGTCGGCCACGGACCGCCTCTCTCCGGATGACGCGGAGTTTGTGGACGCGGTGCACACCTTCACCCAGCAGCAGATGGGGCTGAGCGTGGGCATCGCACAGCCCGTGGCACACTTCGACTTCTACCCTAATGGAGGGGCCTTCCAGCCCGGGTGCCACTTCCGCCACGTCTACAGCCACATCGTCCAGTACGGCATCACCGGTAGGTAGGGAAGGAGGCAAGGAGGAAACGGAGGAAGGAAGGAAGCAAAAGGGAGGAAAGGAGGGAGGAAAAGTGGGAAGTGCCCTGTTTTGCCCCAAGAAGAGCCTTAAAACCAAGTGTGAAGGAACTCAAAAGCTTTACTTCGACAAAGTTTAAAGTAGCAAAATCAAATACACAAAAACAAGTCCACAAAAGGCAAGTACACAAAACAAGGTAAAAGTCAAGTCTTTGGTAGGTTGTTGTAGGTTTTTTCGGGCTATATGCCCATGTTCTAAAGGCATTTTCTCCTGACGTTTCGCCTGCATCTATGGCAAGCATCCTCAGAGGTAGTGAGGTCTGTTGGAAGTAGGAAAATGGGTTTATATATCTGTGGAATGACCAGGGTGGGACAAAGGACTCTTGTCTGTTGGAGCTAGGTGTGAATGTTTCAACTGATCACCTTGATTAGCATTTGATTGCCTGGCAGTGCCTGGAGCAATCTTTTGTTGATTGTCTTTGGTAGTTTCTTCTCAAGTCAAAAACACAAAGACTTCTTGCTGGAACAGATACAGGAACAAAGACTAGGTAATTGGAGGGAAGGAAAGGGAGGCAGGAAGGCAAAGGACCACAGAGGAAAGCAGGGAAAGGAGGAAAAAGAGGGAAACAAAGAAGAGGAAGTGAAAGGGAAAAGGAGGGAAAGAAGGAAAGAAAGGGAAGAGGGAATGGGAGTGAGGGAGGAAAGTGGGAAAAGGAGAAAAAGAAAGAAAGAAAGAAAGAAAGAAAGAAAGAAAGAAAGAAGGAAGGTGAAGAAACAAGAAAAAAGGAAGGAGGAAAAAGAAGGTGAGAGGTAAACTACATACACACACACACACACACACACGTACACATATACACATACACATACAAGCTTGGGGACCCGGCACTGCCCGGGTTATTTGAAAAAGGCATTGTGTGGCAAAGGTGTTCTTTATCAGTTATCAGTTAGTGAAGGTACTGTGAATCCCATCGTGCATGGTCCATCCTCCTCCAAACAGCCCCTGGATGTAGAGTGGGTTATGGTGGCTCTGTGTGCCAAGTTCGATCTTACTCTGTCATTGGTGAGGGTCACAGTGATCTCATGAAGTGTGTGAAGGTACTGCAGGTCCCATCATCCATGGTGAATCCTCCTTCATACCACAAGAGGATGTAGAGTGGATCATGGGGGCTCTGTGTGCCAAGTTTAGTCTAGATCAGTCATTGGATGAGGGTCACAGTGGTCTCAGAAAGTGAGTTAAGGTACTGCAAGTCCCATCATCCATAGGCCATCCTCCCTAAACTGCACCAGGATGTAGAGTGGGTCATGGGGTCTCTATGTGCCAAGTTTGGTTTTTATCAGTCTTTGTTGGGGGCCGCAGTGTTCTGTGGAAACCGAAGGGTTGGAAAGTACTACACATCCCATCATCCATTGTCTGTCCTCCCCCAAACCTCACCAGGAACTAAAGGGGGTCATGGGGGTTATGTGTGCCAAGTTTGGTCTTCATCGGATGAGGGTCGCAGTGATCTCGGGAAATGAGTGGAGGTACTTGAAGTCCCATTATCCATGATCCGCCCTCCTCCTAACCGCAGTAGAAAGTAGATTGGGTCATGGGGGCTCTGTGTGCCAAGTTTGGCCTTTATCGGTCTTTATTGGGGGCCACAGTGATCTCTGGAAACCGAAGGGGTTGAAAGTACTACAAATCCATCATCCTTTGCTGTCCTCCCCCAGGACGTACAGGGGGTCATGGGGGTTATGTGTGCCAAGTTTGGTCCAGGTCTGTCGCTTGTGCAAGTCTCTGTGGCCTGTGAAAGTGGGAGCCAATCAGAAAGCTGCCACATACACTTCTGCCCTTCCGCCCTCCACATACATACATACATACATACATACATACAAACAAACATTCACTTTTATTATATATATAGATATAGATACACACACACACACACACACACACCGATGGTATTCTTCAACCAGAAATCCTTCATTTTAGTAGGGTTGGCAATTATCTTGAGTTTGCACCTACGTGCAAAATCCAGGGCCATATTCCCCATGGATACATGTGTGAGTGTGTGTATGTGTGTGCTCGTACATATTGTTCTCTTTCAACTGTGAACTGGTGGTACCCCCATGGGCAATGCTGCCATCCTCCTCCTCCTCTCTCCTTGCACTCCTTGCAGGCCTGGCACAGACGGTCAAGTGCGCCCACGAGCGCTCGGTGCATCTCTTCATCGACTCCTTGCGCCATGAGGACAAGCGCATGATGGGCTTCTGGTGCAAGGACATGCAGACCTTCGACAAGGGCCGCTGCCTCCGCTGCCGGGGCCACCGCTGCAACACTCTGGGCTTCCACATCCGCAAGGCCCGGCTCCCTGAAAGCAGGAGGCTCTTCCTCAAGACCCAGTCCAGGGAGCCCTTCAAAGGTCAGCCGTGTGCGGGGGGGAACATCATTTGATCCATCCTGGAAGCAGGTGGAGGGTGGGCAGGCTCGGCATTCCTCATGGATCTGCCACAATTTACAAGAGAAAAAGGGTCTGTATTCTGTCGCGCGCTGGGCCTGTAATAGCTGTACTTTTCTATAGGACGTATACTTTAAGCCCAGCGGGAAGCCAGGGGCGCCTCAGAGAGAGGTTCTCAGGGATTTTTCTGAAGTGATGGTCTTTAGAGTCTTTAATGGTACAACAAAGTTCTTTATTATGGAACAAACAACAAATCTTCAATGGTTCAAACAACGTATTGTCGAAGGCTTTCATGGCTGGAATCACTCAGTTCTTGTGGGTTTTTTCGGGCTATATGGCCATGTACTAGAACATGGCCATATAGCCGAAAAAACCCACAAGAACTGGGTTCAAACAACACTTCAAGGATATTTATTTATTTATTTATTTATTTCAAAGTTTTCTATACCGAGCTTCTCACCTCTTAGAGGGACTCAGCCCGGTTTACAACCATAAAAACATACAATCAGTAAAATATCATAGTTCATAATTACAATAACACATTTAAAATAACAACTATATTTAAAACTACGGTGGTCAGTCATCATATTAAAAACAAGTATACCTCATCTTCCATCCACAATCCTAGGGTGCTGTCTCATTCATCGAAAGCCTGTCTCCACAACCACATCTTCACCCATTTCCTGAATGTCAGGATAGACGGGGGGGTTCTGACCTCCGGTGGGAGAGAGTTCCAGAGTTTCTTAGTCTAGTACTCAATGGGCTGGTACCTGACTTTAATTAACTGAACGTTCTCTGTAGGAAAAACCCTTTGTAATCTCTCCCAGACTGTTTACTATCTATGCCTCGTCGGTGTGGGTCCTACTACCGATTCCAAATGCGTCTGGGTATCGAGTAGACCTACCAACCGAGGCTTGAAGATATTTCAGCTGGAGTTCGGTGGATCTGTAGTGCTGTCCTCCCTCAATGAGTTCTTTGAAACTTCAGGGCTGTTTTCCCTCTGATTGCTGTGAGGCTGAGAGGCTGTGAGCTCTCAGCCAGAGCCTTGGGACCTTTTCCCTGGAAGCTCTTTTTTCCCTGGATAGTCTTGAGAAAAGAAGCTTTTCTATGAGACGATTTGGTCTACATCCTATAGTCTAGCTTCCTTGTGTGAGACTGACCAAAGAAATGGCTCCTTTCCCTCCCAGAGCCCTGAACAAGGGGCGGAACCAAAGCTTAATTATGATGGACAGGAGGCCTGCCCTATAACTGCAAACAGATAACAGAAAGAAAATAAAGTTGGAGCTCTTGGTACAGCCGTACCAGCACAGTCTGCTTATGTACAACTTTTGTTATTCAGCCAAGACTTGCGGACGCTCCATGAATTCCAGAACGGATGTTGTTTATTCTTTTCCACTGTTTCTGACCCCCTTAACTTAAATAGTCATTGTCTCTGACCACATCAACATGTGCTGTTGAAACCAAAACGTTCCCTGACTAGTTATGTCAGCAGTTACCTCCATCATCACGTTTCATGTCACATGTTAATCCAATTTTCACCTCCTCCACAATGACTTTTACCCACATTTCAGTTATAGGATGGTGTCTTCAGCCTTGGCACCCCATAATAGGTCCCGAACCTGACTACAATCATACAATTTCATTCACTCATGACATTGAGGTTCACCAAAGTGTCCACATCCTATTGCTGTCTCCAACTAAAGCAAACTCATTGGATCAATAGGATTCAAATTATTATTATTATTATTATTATTATTATTATTATTATTATTATTATTATTACTACCCCATTTTATCTCTCCCAAAGGAGACTCAAAGTGGATTATATTAAGTGCCCACATCCTATTGCTGTGTCCAAATAGAGCAATGTTTCTCAACCTGGGGGACGGGACCCCTGGGGGGGTCACGAAGGGATGTCAGAGGGGTCGCCAAAGACCACGAAAACACAGTATTTTCTGTTGGTCATGGGAGTTCTGGGTGGGAAGCTTGGCCCAATTCTATCGTTTGTGGGGTTCAGAATGCTCTTTGATTGTTGGTGAACTATAAATCCCAGCAACTACAACTCCCAAATGTCAAGTCTATTTTCCCCAAACTCCACCAGTGTTCACATTTGGGCATATTGAGTATTTGTGCCAAGTTTGATCAGATCCATCATTGTTTGAGTCCACATTTTATTTATTTTATTTATTTATTTACAGCTTTTATATTTCGCCCTTCTCACCCCGCAGGGGACTCAGGGCGGATTACAGTGTACACATATATGGCAAACATTCAATGCCAATTTTGACACACAACATATACAGACATACACAGAGGCTATTTAACTTTTTCTGGCCCAGGGGAGCTGTCGCTTTCATCGTCCATCTGCGACGCTGATGAAGTACCTCCGCATTCCTCACATGCTTCCCCGCTGGAGTGCTTCTTTATGGCCTCATAAATTAGTTAATTTAGCCTCCCCACACTTTAAGGTGGTACCTTATTTTCCTACTTGACAGATGCAACTGTCTTTCGGGTTGCAAAGGTCGACAACAGACTACACAATGGTTGGAAACCCACTCCAGCCCGGGCTGGCTTCGAACTCACGACCTTTTGGTCAGAGTGATCTTAATGCAGCTGACACTCAGCCAGCTGCGCCACAATCCTGGTGATTTGCTCTTTGCTCTTTGATTGTTGGTGAACTATAAATCCCAGCAGCTACAATTCCCAAATGTCAAGGTCCAATTTCCCCAAACTCCACCAGTGTTCATATTTGGGTATATTGAGTATTCATGCCAAGTTTGGTCCAGATCCATCATTGTTTGAGTCCACTATGCTCTCTGCATGGATTTATTTATCGTGTCATCCGCAACCAGAACATTGTATTACATTTCCAACAGAGCAAAACAAACAAACAGATAAAAAAACACACAATTTTTGCAAACTTGGTAGCTGATTAAATGTCCTTTGACCAGTAACTGGCCACTTGGAGTGCCTCTGGTGTTGCCGTAAGGAGGTCCTCCCTTGTGCATGTGGCAGAGCTCAGGGTGCATTGCAGCAGGTGGTCAGTGGTTTGCTCTTCTCCGCACTCGCATGTCGTGGATTCCACTTTGTGGCCCCATTTCTTAAGATTGGCTCTGCATCTCATGGTGTTCAGCGCCTTCCAAGTCGCCCAGTCTTCTGTGTGCCCAGGAGGGAGTCTCTCATCTGGTATCACCCACGGATTGAGGTGCTGGGTTTGAGCCTGCCACTTTTGAACTCTCGCTTGCTGAGGTGTTCCAGCGAGTGTCTCTGTAGATCTAAGAAAACTATTTCTTCATTTAAGTCGTTGACGAGCTGGCTGATACCCAAACAAGAGATGAGCTGGAGATATCTCTGCCTTGGTCCTTTCACTATTGGCTGCTACTTCCCAGCGGATATCAGGTGGTGCAATACTGGCTAAGC